TCTACGTGTTTGTTGCTGTTCTTTCACTCTGGTACCACCCTTGTCTGTTTGTAACCTCTTTAAGGATACAACTCTTTGAGCTAAGGCGAATAGGAAATTGTGAACAACCATGATCGCCCACCTCATAGAAGAATAAGAATAACGTTCTGTTACCGAATTGGTAAGGCACTCTCCCAGAGAGCTTCCCAGGTTTTTCAAACCTCAAAGGAAACGATTTCCGATACCTGACATCGTATGATTGCAAAGCATTTAACAATTTTAAAAAAATACAATAAATAAAACAGCTGTTCTTGTTGGCAACTACATGTTCTGTAATCTTCCAATTGATATTTAGTCCTTTCTTCAGGCTTTCCTTTACCATTTTCTGTAAAACTTCATGCAGTTTTATTTTGGTGTCTGTTATCATCGGCATATCTTGAGATTGTGTCTGTTAATAATAAATCCTAATAAGACATCTAGTTCTTTTAGTATAACATCGCTGAAATGGTTGAATAAGTCCGGTGGGAAGACACACCATTGGCTGACGAGCTTTTTTTTATATACTCATTTCATTTTCTGTCCGAATACATTCTGGATTATTCTAATCAGTTATACACGTTTAGACGACCAGTCATGTATCTTTGGATACATGACTGACGAGGCAGATTTTTTCCCACGGTAGGTTTCCATTTCTTTTGCGGTAGACCAGTAACAGAACCCGGTCTGTCCTGCTATTTACCCATAGCTGGTGGGAAAAGAAGAGGACTCACACCTTTCTCAAGGGTATTAGCACGTAAGTGAATGTAATGGATTCAATTGGAATTCGAACTCGGCTCTCCGATTCCTCAATCCGAGCCGCTTATATAGACTGCTTTTTTCGACATTCCAATGTTTTATTTTTAAATTAGTCATAATAAGAGTTTAAGAACAATAATCAGTAATAAAATAAACCAATTATAACAATATTATTATAACAATATATATCTAAAATATACCGACTATATACTCCACTGAAGATTAAGACCACAACCACTCATACGATGTTTATCTGTTGAAAAGTATAAACTCTACCGATGTTTACCTTAAGATTCAAGTATAAACTTGACCAACGTTTATAGTTTCCAGAATAAATCCGAGTAATGTTTACCTGTTGACACAAGCATAAATCCCACTAATCTTTATCGGTAGACTCAAGTATAAACTTAACCAATGTTTACCTATACTCTTCTATATGTTAAAAAAAGCACACACACATTTCTATCTTAAATAAGCCAAAAAATGGTTGATATGTCTCCGAAATCACTAAGCCAAAACCATAACAATACACTGTAATAAAAGAGAATTTATTTTTAACTATCAACCTCAATATACAATTCTGTTTTTTTTAATCATTTCACCCCAAACAAGGCAATAAAGCCACGAAGACGCAAGGGGTTTCTGAGTGTTAGAAAATATGAGAAAAATATACTATTAAGGAGAGAGGACAAGAATTAAAAAGACAGAAGATAACGTTTGACATTGCATTTAAACTTTTAAAGATTAAACTTGATTGGGAGTTAAGAAGCCAGAAGAGAGTTCCACAAGCAAGAAGAACGACAGAAGATACTGTTAGCATAGAACTTACGGTTACATCCAACTGTAAAACAATGAGACCTTGTTGTCAATCTGGTACTGTGTATATAAAGTCTAGGTATCAAAGAGGAAAGTTAATCAGAACAATTACCATGAAAGAATTTATAGAAAAAGCACAGGTCGGTGAGAAACTGACTGAAGGAAAGATGCCCGGTCAGGACCAATAACATTGCAGATTCTTCTTTGAATTTTACCCAGAATTTCTAAATATATAACAGGAGCACAAGACCAGATGTGGCAGCAATATTTAAAGCAAGGAGGAATGGTAGCTTTATAAATATGTAAGATATAATTAAGCCCAGCAATTTCATCTGATCACTTAAAGTAATCAATTTATGTCTTCTTTAGAATGTCCGAATCGTCAGCATCACAGCGCATGCGCTATGCGGCCATTATTAAGCAAATCTGGTATATCATTTATTTATGGGTTCATATTTATGGGCTTATGGTAAATAATATCTTGAAAAGATATAGATGATTTGGACAACTGTAATTAAAAAAGCCAACTCTTTTTGTAAGCGTCTCGCTCTATCAATTGGCAATAGGAAACAAAATGAAAAAAAAAAAAACTAAAAAAAACAAAAAACAAACAAACTATAGTCAGAGTAATACATAAGTCGTAAAAGTAAAATGTAACAAACAATAAATACAATACTATGAAAACAATGAATGCAGTTCGAGACATGAGGGGAAGTTAACAGCAGACGGAAAAATGTCAAAGTCGCCTTCTGGCATTGTCGTCACTCTGACGTCAATTGGGCAGTGTGATAAGCTTCTTCGTTTCGCTTGCATTCATGGTGGGAAAAAGGCTCTTCAGTCTACGCCCCCATTTCCACTCAGCTATATATAGAGTTAATAACATCTATATAATATATACCAATAGAACGATGATATATTATACATATTAAAGTGTTACTGCAATGGTATTAGATTATATTAATTCCCTAGCCTAAAGGCATGTTTTCACACAATTTATTTTTCAGTGATACTCCCTTCCTTGTCAATGCACTTAACACTTCTCTACTATTTATATAGATCGAACATTACATAAGGATAATTTCAGATGAGAAATCAAATCAGGATATAGACTTATTGATTCATATTACAATATTTTAATATTGCTTATTTGCATATGTGCCTCTCTCTCTCTCTCTCGCTAAGATTAATATAAATAAAATGTGCCAGCTGATTAATGTTGCACACACACACACACACACACACACACATATATATATATATATACTAGCAGCCATACCCAGCTGATCGATCAGAAAAAGCGTTCAATTAGAATGGAGCAAAAACATCATCATGTTTAGATGTAACAGAGTCTATCTTCTTCAATTACTTTCAAGTACTTTCATTAAAAAAATATTTTTAATTAATGCAGTTATTGATATAATAAAAGTAGTCTGTATTTATTCAATCGAAGTTAGCTGAGGACATGAAGTGTTAAAACAGGCAACATGAAGACCCATTTTAGATCACAATTATTTTGGAGTTTTTGAAATTCAATTTGTCAATGTGCTACCAGGGATATTAAAGAGGATACATTTATAAAGCAATTGTTAAATTTGATAAAAATTGGTTGAAATATCAACGAAAAATAAGAAAATAGTAAAAAAATCACCATTTTTCGCTGTTTACGGAGGTTTTCACTATATGGGTGGACTTAATTGTCAAGTTAAATGACTGTTAAACAATCAACTTATTGTTGGCTACAACTGAATGAAGTTTGTATAAGATTGCTTGAAAATTGAGGGAGTTTTTAGTTTAAAATTTGTGTTGAAATCGATTTGTGTTGAAATGGAAATGGTTTTTCGCTAAATGCAGTGTCGTAGAAATAAAAATGAGGTATCGTTGAGAATGTCATGATGTGAGTAACCTACATACCGAGTTTGAACGAAATCGGAGGGAAAAAGTTGAATTTACCGATTTTTGATCAGCTTTATCGATATTTTTTTAAATTATCGATTTTTTTACGATATATACAATGTATGTGCCAAGTTTACTCAAAATCGGTTGGATGGATCTTGAGTGAAAAGGTATCCTCTGTTTTATATATATATATATATATATATATATATATATATATATATATGTGTGTGTGTGTGTGTGTGTTTGTGTGTGTGTGTGTGCGATCTCTCTCGCGTATACACACTAAGCTATAACGTTCTCATGCACTTCCGTTGTTTATTGCAGTACTTGGAATGACAGTGTGTAGAGTGTGATCATCCCACCAAAGAGGTTCCATTAGTAACCATTGCTTGTGCAGCAGTTTTTGGCCAAATACAACATTCCCCAGGTCCGACAACCACAATATTCTCTATATCTCACCTCTTGCGACTTTTCCTATTCAAAAATCAAATCCCACTTGAAAGGAACAAAATTTCAAGACGTCGAGGAAATCAAAGAGAATGAGACCAGGTAGCTGCTCGCCCTAAGGAGTTCCAGGAATGCTTCCATCAATAGAAACGACGCTGGATAAAGTGTATAGGTTCAGAAAACTGACAAAATCCAAAGAAGGATCTGTAATATAATCGATCTTGACCAAGCATCTCGACTTCAGTCACTTTCTCATTGATGTGATGTGGCTTCTCTGTATCTTTTCTACAAATATTATCATGACAGCTGCTGTGACAAGCTTTTTTTCCTTGATGCTCTACATGAATTTAAGCGTGCTACTAGATAAAATGCACTTTTTACAGGGCTCTATTCTGGGACCTACGTTGTTTCTGATCTTCATCATTGATCTCCGACCCGGTGTCATCAGTTCTCAACTAGTTACTTATGCAGATGACACTACCATTTATTCCCGTCTCAATAGCAAATCCGACAAGGTAAACCTGGCAGCTGCTCTTGAAAAGGACCCCTAATTAATGATTAATTGGGGTAAGAAATGATTTGTAAACAACATCATTCAGTGAAACTCTATATTGAGTGACTCTTAGGCTTCGTATGAGCTGGGCATTTAGTACAATTATTATATACCATACCTATAAGCACTAATGGATATGTCCCAATCCTCATAAATACATTGGACACTATTGTAAGTGGCAGTAATATGCTAAGAAGTCCACCACTAGCAGTGGTTTACCTACTTCATGCCGCTGGCGAGTATTGTATTTTGTTGATGTTATAAAGATTAACATTTCATTTCCAACCTCTATTTTGGTTATTCCTCATTCAGTAACCTTTTCTAGGTTACTTTGAATTGACACTTTTGTTTGTGCCACAACCTCTGTGTAGTTTGTTGTTTCTATTCCAATAGCCGTGTGTGTGATAAGCCGGCTACTAGGGCAAAGCGGCGTCCCAAATCGTTCAGGTAGGAAAGGTGACCGTAGTTGTCATGCCAGCCTAAGTTTTTGAAGTTGGACCTGTAATCTGTCAAGTGTATACGCATCTATCTATCTATCTATCTATCTATCTGGATATAGTTCACATCTATCTATCTATCTGGATATAGTTCACTATCTATCTATCTATCTATCTATTCCGTTTACATCATGGTTTTGAATCATGCTCATGAAGAAAAATTAATTATTTACATTATTCGGACTATTGTCCTCATCTTTGTCGCCATATTTATCACAACGTTTCGACCGTTGTACGCTCCGGACATCTTCAGGTGGTTGAAATGTCGAACTGAACCCTTTATTTCGCTCACTGGGGTAGACTGTTCTAGTTCCACGTGCCATGTTTGATGGATGTCAGTTATCAGTTATCTCCGGTTAATTTCCCTCTGAAAGTTCTCCACTGCCTTAACCGAGTATTGAACTCACACTCTTTGGGTTGTGTCACTGGATCTAACCAACTGGATAACTGATAACTGACATCCATCAAACATGGCACGTGGAACTAGAACAGTCTACCCAGTGAACGAAATAAAGGGTTCAGTTCGACATTCCAACCACCTGAAGAAAGCCGGAGCGTACAACAGCCGAAACGTTGTGATAAATATGGCGACAAAGATGAGGACAATAGTCCGAATAATGTAAATAATGTACATAATACCTCATCTCAGAAATATAGACAGACTCTAAAGATAAGTTAAGCATTGTCCCACACCGTGGTGCACATGTAAATAACCTTAGCGGTGTGTGTGTGTCTCTCTCTCTCTCTCTCTCTCTCTCTCTGTGTGTGTGTGTGTGTTTGTGCGTTTTAGTCATTTCACTTGAAGCAAGGCAACAAAGCCACTATTGTTCGAGAATATGAGAAATGCACTATTTTTTTTTTAAGCATTTCACCCCAAGCAAGGCGGGAAGCCACTAGGACGCAAGGGGTTACAGAAAATAGAAAGATCAGATAGGAGTGATAGAAGAAAGGATGAGGGTAGTAGATAGATTAAGGCAACTGGAGATGTCGATTGACATTACACTTGAATAGCTGGAGATTATAGCTCACAGGGAAACAGGAGAAGGGAAGAGAGTTCCACAGGCGAGAGGTGCGAGACATGAAGCTATTAGAGTAGAAGAGACGGTTACATTTAGGAGTTTCGACAGTGAATGGGTGAGAGCTGACAGCCTGTAGGGCGGGAACTCAGACGTCTGGGATAAAATGCAGCTCCTCGGAGCAAGGGCAAAAAGTATTTGGAAGAACAGACAGAAGGAGGCGAACCAGCGAATGCAGACGCCAGGGCAGCAATTTCCATGAAATATATTTGTAGAACAGACAGAAGGGGGCGACATATATGGCAACAATACTCCGTAGGGACTATTTATTTTGAGAAAGTGACTGTAGACGAGACGCCAGGGAAGGAGAGATAACAATAAAAGGACAAGAATTAAGATGACAGAAGATAACGATTGACATTTCATTTAAATTTTTGAAGATCTAAGTTGACTACGAAGCAACAAGCCAGAAGAGAATTCCACAAGCGAGAACCGCGAGACAAGAAACAGTTAGCGTAGAACTTCCGGTTACATGTAGATGTGGCAGAGACCAATAGTCACTCTTGAAATATTAATAATTATAGTAATATAGAATTTTGTTTATAGATGAAAAAAATAATTTGTGGTGAAGTTTGTGCCCAGAGCATCTGTGCTTCGTCAGAATTATTAATATAAAATGGCAAAACAATATTGTTTATATGAACTATGGAATACCAATTGAGAAGAAGAGACTGTTCATTTAATCATAAAGGGGAAGAGGTCAGTAATCAGGCTGTATTCTAAGTTTACCAACACCCCGGGTTTTTGTCGCTACCACCGCGTTTATTTAAACGCGTATTTGTGCGAAAAAACACTGGAAGTCGAACGGAATTGAAGCTGGATGAAGTGAGTTGACAAGCAGTTGACCAGAGAGAGAGAGAGAGAGAGAGAGAGAGAGAGAGAGAGAGAGCGAAAGCGTCTGCTTGTTGTTGTAATAAGGGAAGAAGTGAACTCAAGTTATCTGCAACATTGGCGCAATACTGCCAGTGAACCCCTTTATATCCTGATAGTTAAATAATTACGGCAACTACTAAGTACAAAAAGAGTGAACCTGAAAACCTCTTCCCTTTCAGAATTATTTGCAATATTTTTTTTTTTTTTTTCTGGACTTTATTTCATATATACTACTTTCTTGTAAAAGCGGCATTATTCTTTTTGTGCCAATTTCTTCCTTATATACATGAACTTTTCTTTGGACTCGAACGGACTTGTTCATATTTGATTTTTCTGCTTGGCCTGATTCTCGCCCCAAAGAACTTGCAGGTAAACCAGCTGAATTTTCCGGGATCTACGATTTGTTAATTGCTCTCCAGGATCAAAAAATCACAACGTGGCTGGAAAGTTGAATCGAATCGACCTTGTGAACCGGAGACTTTGTTTGAACCTGTAATACTGGATCAGGACAGGACCAACGGCCGGTCATGTAGAGTCCGTCGATTCAGTGGGATCAAGTTTGGTGTTACATAGACCTTTCAACTGTAAAATGACAAGACCTCGCCGCCAATCATGTACTATCCAGTGCGCGCGTGAGTGCCCCGTTGTTCAAGATAAATTCATAAATATATAATGCTTTGGCATCATTGACAATAAACCGATCACCTTAACCCGTGGGAAGATGAAATAAAATCGACAAAAATAAAAAAAAATATTGAATCATAAAAAAGAAAAGAAACAGAAATATATTTTTCCATGATGCTAAGAGTAAAGAACAGGAAATATGATTACCCCGCTTGATTTCGTCAAATCTCGTTAGGTGCCGTTGTTGAAGCCTGTAAAAGGGAAAACATTTCCTGCCCCACGCTCTTTCTCCTAACGTGGTAATTTCGTTTGCGCTGAGAACTTACTTTCCCCGGTCCACTGACGACTGAACTCTCTTCGCATTTTCCGACGTATGTCGCTCGCACGTGCCTTCCAAAACCTCAACCTATGAAGTAGGTCAAGCCTTCTCTTTGGTTGTTCCAACTCAGCGCAAAGCTGACTTGAGCGCGACCATAATAACGATGCTTGTACTGAACTACCCTGATTCCAGGACCATGAAAAAGAAAACGGATATCTCATAAGTATGTTTAAACCTTCCAACGATAAACTAAGTAAAAACTTCCCTTTGGATGTTCCAAGGTTGACTTGTGCTCGACCATGACTAAGATACTTGGGCTTACCCACCCTGACTTTTGGGCCAGAAAGAGAGCGGGCATAGCCGAGAGAGACTGCGATCTACAAGTCACCATAAAATGAATAAACGTTTGTAGCAGAAATTCAACTTTTTGTATAATTCTTGTATTTATTTACATATGCAACACGCACCTTTACCTAAAATACACACACATACACATAGTATTTTAACATTTTATCTATCTATCTATCTATCTATCTATCTATCTATCTATCTATTACGGCTTGTCCACATCTATCTATCTATCTATCTATCTATCTATCTATCTATCTATCTATCTAAGTTTCTTAATGTATATCTATCTATTATTATCTATCTATAGATCTATCTCAATTTGTTTACATCGATCTATCTATCGATCTATCTCAGTTTGTTCATATCTATCTATCTATCTATCTATCTATCTATCTATCTATCTATCTATCTATTGCATCTCGTACATGTGTGTGTGTGTGTGTGTGTGTGTGTGTGTGGTTCGCAGTCCCGTGCTGAAAAAAATAGGTAGCTGGGTGAAAGAATAAAATAAAATAACTAAAAACAAAAAGAATAAAAAAAAAAGAATGTCCTTTATAAGCCTTGCGTCATAACGGCACACAAAAGTGCGATGACTTCGCCGTTAGTGTCTCTTTGTCTCTTCTGTTACTTTGAATTGGCACTTTTGTTTGTGCCACAACCTCTGTGTAGTTTGTTGTTTCTATTCCAATAGTCGTGTGTGTGATAAGCCGGCTACTAGGGCAAAGCGGCATCCCAAATCGTTCATGTAGGAAAGGTGACCGTAGTTGTCATGCCAGCCTAAGTTTTTGAAGTTGGACCTGTAATCTGTCAAGTGTATACGCATCTATCTATCTATCTATCTATCTATCTATCTATCTATCTATCTATCTATCTGGATATAGTTCACTATCTATCTATCTATCTATCTATCTATCTATCTATCTATCTATCTATCTGGATATAGTTCACTATCTATCTATCTATCTATCTATTTATCTATCTATCTGGCTATAGTTCACTCATCTATCTATCTATCTATCTATATCTATCTATCTATGTTTCACAGCATGCTCATATCTATCTATCTATCTTTATATCTATCTATCTATCTATCTATCTATCTATCTATCTCCATATATATATATATATATATATATATATATATATATATAGTTCACATCTATCTATCTATCTATCTATCTATGTTTACGGTTTTCAAAGGTGTTTCTAAGACTATTCCGAATGAGTTACTTGACCGCCTGCAACAAATATACCATGGGTAGATAAGGACAGAAATTAGGGAAGTTTCGTTTGTAGCCGTCATGCCTGATGATACAACAGATATTTTGGAACATATTATAATGTTCATTGTTCTACGGTGCGTCTTGAATGAAGAAATATTTGAGTGTTTTGAGAATCCTTTATTCCAGAAAATCAAACTGTAGATGGCATATCAAAACGTATTCTAGAACAATTAAACATAATCCTTCACGGAAATGGACAAAAAACTGATAGCTCAGACATTTGATGGTGCAAATATCATGAAAAGCAAAAAACAAAAAACAAAGTAAAGTGAAGCCAAAATAAAAGCAGTTTAACGTAGTGCACATTTCATTTGCTGTTATGTACACCAATTTAATTTAATAATAAGAAATGCAGCAAGTATTACATGGAATGCAAGAATATAATTATCTAACATTTTGACTATTCCAATATTCTTCTCAAGATCACCACATGTATCCATTCTCAAGAAGCATATGGATGTCAGCATTCCACGTCCATCATTTACAAGGTGAAACTTTAACATATGGACCGTGTACAGAGTTCATGAAAATTTGAAACCTTTAAAAAGCTGCCTTACTGAAATTCAATCAATATCAAATACAGATTAAACCATTGCAGAAATAACAGGAATTTCTGAATACCTGAATGATGATAATTTCATGATTTTGATTAGTTTTTTCATCAGATTATGTCTCATGCTCAAGTAATTTACAATCAAATGCAATTTTGAGAAATTAGTGTGTTTTAAAGTCAATAAATATATAATAGATTTCAAAACTGCTATTTTAGAAATAAGAAACTCAAAGAGAATCCTTCAAAGACAATCATAGCAGAAGCAAAGGAAGTATGTGATTGCATGTGTGTTATTATAATGGACATATAGTCTTTGACTAAACACTTCCATAGAGCCAGAACGCTGCTTTTCAATATTGAAAAAAAAATTTCTACGGAGTACTATGAATCCTGAAAGACAAAATGCACTTGCAATGTTTTCAATAGAGAAGTACTTCCTTAATGCTCACGTATCTGAAACCCAAAGTTTCATGGAGATTATACCCACTGGTCAAGGAACTTCACTGTAAGATTTTTTTTCTGTCTATCTATAAAGATGGATAGTTACGTTGCATGATAGAATTAGCTGAATTTATTTTGAAATTTCCCCGTATAATTTTTTGTTAAATCCTTGTGCTAAGACGTGTTGTGTACGTGTTTTTTAGTCCACTTGTTTTGGTAAACCTGTGAATTACTGTACAGTTTCATTATGTATTACACAGTGATAAGAAGAATACACACACACACATATATATATATAATAACTCAAGAAAAAACCTTAATGACCCATTTTGGTTATAATTTATTTCGTGAATGTTTTTATATTCATCTCTTCAGATCGAAGGTTCTTAATAAATGAAGACTTCATTCAAACAGATATACTAGATTAACAGGAAGGGAAAGCAAGCGAGCAGAGAAGAAAGAGGGAGAAGAAGAAAGAGAAATAACAGATTTTCGAATATAAAAATATAAGAGAGGGAGAGAGAGAAAGAGAGAGGACTGAGAGAGGGAGGGAGAGAGACAGAGAGTGAAGGAAAGGAAAGAGAAGAAAGAAGAAATAAATGAAGGGATAGTAGTAAAACTAAAATAGAATGACTTGGCCAAAAAATTTTATCTTAAAGAGCAGAACAAGTTTGTACATCGGGTGATGTGGTGTGTGATCAGACTCGAAAGAGTTACCGCAAATTGACCAATAGACTTTGTTATTTTAGGTAGCAACAGTCATCACAAATTCAAATCAGTTAGCCTAATAATAATAATAATAATAAGAAGAAGAAGAAGAAGAAGAAGAAGACATAGCAGTACGATTTGAGAGAAATATCTCCTTGGAAATTATCGAGAAATTGTCCAAATATAAGGACCGGGAGATCGAGATTAACAGAAAGCGGGAAATGAAGACTGAAACCGTACCAGTAGTAATCGGAGCTCTGGACCTCGTGAGAAAAGGAACGGAGATTTTTAGTAACAGTGTCCCAGGTAACATCAACATACAAGTTGGCCAGATGATAGCCCTACTAGGAACATTCCATATACTAAATTAAATGACAATTCTCCTATAGAAACTAAGGACCATAGTTTGAACCCGGCTCTACAGGATACAAAGCAGAAAACATAACATACACAAATAATAATAATAATAATAATAATATCCAGCATAAAATAAGTAAAATAAAACGATTTTTAAAATAATAAAAGATAAAATAATTAAGCGTCTTGCTTGCGTTGGCATTATATATATATATATATATATATATATATATATATATATATATATATATATATATAATCATGCCAACGCAAGGAAAGCGATAAAGCCACTGAGACGCAAGATGTTAGTGATATTTGAAGGAAACTGAGCGAATGTTATTGAGGATACATTATTACTATTATACATGATTCAAAAAAGAAAGATGGTGATTGACGTTGCTTTTCAATTTTTGAAAATCATAGTTGATGGGAAAGCAAAGAAGCCCGAAGAGAGTTTCACAAGCGACAAATGAGTGAAAATAAACTATCAGAACAGAAATTAAGGTTATATGTCGCAATTCCAACAGTAGAATGTTGAGACTTAACTGCACGTCCAGATACCAAAGTGGAAAGTGTTACGGTTTTTTGGGTATATAACACATATAACTAGTGAGCGAGTCAGAATGACTTATTTCCCTTTATAGGCGACCAATAGAAGGTTGACCAATCAGAAGCCGCACATCACTGTATTCATCTGTATTCGTCGGCCATCTTGTTTCCTCTACCAGAAGGACCAAAGGCGACCAGGAGAAGGATGAACTACACTCTGCTGTGATATCCATTGCGAAACTGCACTACGCTTTCCTACTGTCTCCGAAATATTCACTGCCAACCTCTGGATTCTATACTCGAGGACGACCGCCATGAGAATGTCTAACAGAAAGTTCATCAGAACAAATGGAATGAAAATATTTTTGAAAAAGCTCAGGGAAGCTATATTTCAGCGGTGGCAAAGTGTTTGAAGCCAAGATGTCAGGTCTGGACTGATAACGTTGCTGGTTATTCTTTGGACTTTATCAAGAATCTCTAAATGCATAGCAGAAGCACCAGACTATAACAGCAATATTGAATGCGTTGACGAAAGATAGACTTATAAATATTTAAGAGAGATTCAGGAAAGAAAAATTTGACACAGTAAAGCAACTATCCTTGCAGAAGACTTCGCAATTGATTCAAAACGTTTCACTTCATGTAAACGTAATTCGTTAACCCGAGAAGGAGCAATAAGTCATTAATAGATTCAGAAGTAGAAAGATTCATTATATTTTTAATTGATTGAGTAGTGGAAAGATTTATTATATTTTTAATTGATCGGATAAAGGGAAGATCTATTATATTTTTAATAGATTCAGTAAAGGAATCATTCATTGCATTTTTAATAGATTGGGTAGAAAAAACATTCATTGTATTTTTAATTGATTGAGTAGAGGAAAATTCATGATATTTTTAATTGACTGAGTAAAGGAAAGAGTCATTATATTTTTAATTGATTGAGTAGAGGAAAGAGTCATTATATTTTAATTGATTGAGTAAAGGGAGGATTCATTGTATGTTTAATTGATTGAGTAGAAGAAAGATTCATTGTATTTTTAATTGATTGAGTAGAGGAAAGAGTCATTATATTTTAATTGATTGAGTAAAGGGAGGATTCATTGTATTTTTAATTGATTTAGTAGAAGAAAGATTTTTGTATTTTTGATTGATTGAGAAGAAAGATTCATTATATTTTTAATTGATTGAGTAAAGGAGGATTCATTGTATTTTAATTGATTCAGAAGATAAATTGATTTCAGGAAATTTCATTTTTTTTTAATAGATTCAGAAGATAAAAGATTCATTCTATTTTTTTTTAATACATTCAGAAGATTAAAGAGCCTTTTCCTTTTTATAAATTCAGAAGATTAATAAAAATCAATTGAAGAAATTGGCCTTAAACAACCTTCCTCCTAGTTGCGCTATGTTGACCTAACGGTGGTAAATATGGAATAACCGATTTGGGAATTTAAATGTTTATTATTTAAATTATAAGGCTGGCATTGAATTTTGCTTTGATACGTCTGTAATTTACTCCCTTCGTCTTTTAGTTATGAAAAATAAAGTTGAATTGGAGTTCGAGAGTTTTAATTACTGAAAATTTTAGGTATCACGAACAAGGATTTATATTGTCATTAAGCCACCTCGAACCAGTGTAATAATAAACAAACTTTTACTTATGTAATATCAACTTAAAACTGGTGCGGTTTCCAAATAGTTAAATTTGTTCGACTTGTTATGGACTGCTCTCCCCTACCTCAAATGTAACAATGTTTGGCCTGTTTTCTTAACGTGCTGATTGGGCAAATTGCAGCGTTTATTTCGGTGTTTATTCAGCTGTTTCAAATGCAGACGATTGCAAAGTATGGGACGTGTAACCAAGCAACGCATGACATGAGAGACACCCGCGCATTTGTCGCTGGGTATTGGCCGCGGGTAGACATATTACAATTTAGCTGAGGCACCTCGAGGTGGTGTAATGGTTAGCAAGCTTGTCTCGCTAGAACAATTACGACTGAGTAGTGAGTTCAATCCTCACTGGGTACCCATTACTTTCGCCCTTGTGCCAAATCAAAGCTACGCTTGGAAAAACAAAAGGGCAACTCGAGATGGTTAGCAAGCTTGTCTCGCTAGAACAATTACGAATGAGTAGTGAGTTCGATCCTCACTGGGTGCCTCTTACTTTCGGCCTTGTGCCACATCCAATCTACGCTTGGAAAATCACTATTACAATTTAGCTGTTTTGGTAATTGGTTGTGAGTTCAACTCTCTCTGGGTACCTTTTACGACTATGGTCTTAGTTAATAAAGCTTAGTGAGCTATTAAA